TTATCAGTAATGCTTCTTCATCCAATTGTTTTTTTTTAAATGTTGGTGTACCGATAAGATACGACGATTGAAATCAAAATTGATATTGTAATAATTTAATAAGGAAACGAAACGCAAAAAATAATAATATAACTAAAATAGGCATAGTCTCATTTTTTCCTTCCTGTACCATTTAATCTGTCTCTTTTATTGCAAAAAAAAAAACAGCTAAACTCTGTCAACTTATTACTAACCATTTTTTGTCACAAAACGAGTACCAATTCAATTCAGCTCAAGCGTCAGCCAGGAATTAGGTGATAATATATTTTTCGTCACAAATCTCACTTCCTAACATGCCATATTTTATCCATATCATACACCTCATTCTTCATAAACATTTTACTATTAATCCTACTCTCTGAGTGGCTCTTGGGTCTTGGATTGGGTTAACTTTAGTCAGAGAATTTTATTCATACTGTTGGAATTTTTGGGTACTAGTGAGCCAGCCAAAATAAGCTGATTCCTTTTATAGATCACTAATAGAACGGTTAACCAATCAGAAGGCTCAAAATATTCAATGCGACGTGTATAAAGGCGGCCATGTTTTTTTTCCTGAATACTCACGGCCAGTCTTTGATATCGAAGACTGAAGAATTACCGCACAGCTTCTGCTGCTGGTGGTATTGGCAATATAGTCATATTCAATAGACTCGAGAGTATTAATCTTTAACGTTGTTTCATTGAACAGATTACGTACTGCGCTGTATTCTATATTCATAGACTATGGTGACCATGGTCAACACATACAATCTTGCTGTTTCAAGTATTTAATTTATATTTTGCTCGAATTTTGGGGATGAGGAGTTACTGAAACTACTTAAATGCAGACTAATGTCCCCATTGTTATTGTTGTTATCATAAATTTTCGGCAGATTTGCTCTTCGGCCCTCATCAGGTGCATGTCAATCCGGGTAATAGCCAAATAGATTAAAACGCTGGTTCTTGAATTTGGTGATGTACTATTTATGAGTTAAATCCCTGAGTTTGGCAGTGTATACTTGGTCTGAGTGAAAACAGGACAATAACTTAATAATACTAAAAAAACAAAAGAAGACCTAGCCGGGATATCCCTAAAGATGGACATTAGGAGGAGAATATTCTACGCCAGTAGATTAAATAAAATGTTCCATTCGGTTAACAGCCTGATGAAGATCAGAAGAGCCAACGATCGAAATATGGTTAAAGCAGCAACATAGATGAGTTCAATAGACTGCCTATAAATAGTGTAATTATTTATAGGTTAGAGAATCGTCCAACATCACTTGCCACATAGAATTTGAGATATTACATAGGCGTTCATCATTTTTTGTTTATTTCTAACTGTTTAGGTTCGAAGTTTCCAGCACATAGAATGCCTCAAAAACAAAACTGCTCTCTATTTATCCCCAGAGAGAACCATCCCTACCTCCCATTACAACGTCTGACGCTCAACTCCACGAGAGCATCTCTTTGCGACTGTTCGGTCTCACATTGTCTGCTGACCTGAGATGGAACGAATACGTTGAGTCAATAGCTTCGTCCACCGCAAGCAAAGTTGGCTCCCTATGCCGCGCCACGACATTTTTTCTCGCCGGAGTCAATCCTTCAAATCTACAAATCAACCATTCGCCCTTGCATGGAATATTGCTGCCATATATGATCTGGAGACCTTTCTAATTGTCTCAACGTCCTTGATAAAATCCAAAGACGGATATGCAATGAAACTTCCCTGATCTGGCATCTCGTCTGCAGCCGCTCTCTCACAGACGTGTCGTTGCCTCCCTCTATCTTTTTTACAAATACTTTCATGGTAACCGATCTGATGAACTGCTTTTGCTGGTTCCCAGACTTCATGAATTTAAGCGTTCAACTAGGCTGGCATCTCGCTCTCACCCTTTCACTGTCGAAACTGTTAAATGCAGCCGTCTCTTCTATTCCAATATCTTCATCGCTCGCACTTCTCGCCTGTGGAACGCTCTCCACATTTCTTGTTTTCTTGATAGCTATAATCTCCAACTATTCAAATGTAACGTCAATCGACGTCTCTAGATGCCCTGATCTATCCCTAACCGTCTCTTCATCCTTTTCTCTATCGCTCCTCTTTGTTCTCGCTCCAGTTATGTAACTCTTTGCGTGCTAGTGGCTTCCCGCCTTGCTTGGGATTAAATGCTTAAAAAACCCAAAAAACATAGCTCCAATTTTGGCCGGTCTCTTTCGTTGGGAACCATGTATTCTATTTTGGTAGTTCGTAGTTAGTCCTTTCTTCTCGCTTTCCTTTAATACCTTGTTGCTTAATTCTTTCACTTCCTACTATCAAACAATGTCATCCGCTTATTTGATTCTGTTAAATATTTTTCTTAATAAATAAAAACGTCTCATGTATTGATTGAACCGTCGTATTAAATATATTTCCTCATATATAAATTCTTACGTTAACAAGATGTCTGCATTATGCACTAGTATTTCAGTGGTCTGATTTGCC